CTTATTTTTGAGTTGAAGCCCCGAGCATATTTATGGCAGACGGGCAGCATTGGATCCCCGAGGCAAAGACAGGCAACGGAAGGGAAAATCGGGAGTCTCTGCTGAGCCGCGACTGATCTGCCAGCCGATTTGCAGCGCCGGTCCCTTTGCACTTCCCCGCTTGTGCTCGGTTGTTAACTTTGTTCGTATGTACTTTGGGATACTCTGGAGGATTCCCGTGGGGTTGGTGGGAGATCCTGACCCCAAAGGGATCATGCTTTGGATGGATCCATGGCGATAAATGGGGATACAGCCAGTGAGAGAGATGCCAATGGTCAAACCGCCATGGTTGCTTTCTAATTCTTGATCTCGTGACTCCGGGGAGGAGGGAGTTACGGATGCATTAATAGGTAATCAATGCTCATGACTAAGGTGTTTATGTACATAGCTCGTGACTTGTAACTACTTACAGTGCTACTCCTGACTTGCCTCATTTGGCAACATGTCCCGACCCGCCTCTGGGAATCCTTCCTGATCCTTTGGTAGGTGTTATGATTACGGTAGTGTTCATTCCCTACCAGCGACTTCCCTCCACGCGGTACAATCCATTCTTCCGTTTCTCCGCCTCCCATCGCTCAATCCACGCCTTCATGCGCTCCCGACTTTTCCGGCTACCCACGTTCACCGTGGGGATCACCCGTCCGATCCGGAGTGCACAGCAGAACATGCTCAACTCCCGAAATGAGCTGTGCTCGCTGTACGGCACTCCAAAGCAGGCACTTTCCCGCGTACTCCCCCGCTGTGGCACCAGGTCTTTCGCAGAGAAGGGCGTCTTCCAATGCGCCGAGTTGAGCACCACCGACACCGGTGGGTTGTCCAGCATTCTTCCAGCTGGCGGTCGATACGTCCACCCCGTGGGTCGAAATCCCACCACCCGCGTGAAGTGCGGCTTCATCGAGTCCAGGTAGTCCGCCAGCGTCTCCGCCCGGATCTCAAAGAGCGTCTGCATATGCACCTGCGCCTCCGTGGGATCGTCCGTCAGCAGCGATGACAGCTCAGCATCCTCGAGGCACGCACAGACCCGCTGCTTAGCTGGCGTTGCGTAGATTTTGCTCTTCAATGCCCGCGCAATCCCCAGGCAAATGCGTTCCTTGCCGATGCTGTACGTTCCAATCACCACCAATAACCGCCCCGGAGGACGGCTCCCTTGCGTTGGAGACGGGTGGGATCCAGTCACTGCCGTAACAAACTTGCTCAGCATTCCGCTTTTCCCATTGACTGGTCGTCCGAATGCTCGGCCGTTGGTATCATTGGCGTCTTGGTCGAGCTCAACGCAGAGGTCCGCGCAAGCTTCAATGACGTCTTCTTGACCTGGGAATGCGTACTTAGGGCTCAGGTAGGTAGTGTCGAGATAGCAGGCGTCGATTCGTTGCTGGCGAGCCTTGCCAGTTGCAGGATCAGTGATCTCCGGGCGGAGAAGGGCATGTTGCACATGCAGTGGCGAGGCGCGAAAGTCACCACAGTGAAGGACACGGTGTGTCCTCTGCGAGGGGCCGGATCCCATTGATTTCTCGAAAAGAAAGATGGCGCTCCCGGGACAATGATTCGCTTCGATCAAGGTCACTTGCGCTCCTCCCGTCGCCGGGATTTCCATCTTCTGTTCGAACTCAAGTGGTACAAGCCACTTCCGGTCAACTTTCAATTGCTGGCACACCAAATTGGCCGTAGGCCTGCTGCAGTAGATTGGTCCATGGCGCCAGGACCCCGTAAGGCCGATGTAATGATCGCTGTGGAAGTGACTGAGGAAATACGCGTTGCACCCCTCGACGGCTCCGTATCGAAACGCATCCACACAGAGGGAGAAGCCAGGGATGATCTTGTAGAACGGACACGTCCGTTGATAAGCCTGTTTGCCACGGGACGCAACCTCGTTGGCCGCCGCTGCATTCCATGCTGTATCTTCCGCGTTGCCGGCCATGAGCTTCGAAAAGGCCGACCTCGTTCCTGCGACGCCAGTGGCATATGGGTCACGCTGCGCTGGTCTCGCGATAGCAGCCCGGTCGGCAAGACTCATTCCTTTCGACGACTTCAACTCCGGTCCCGGCTCCGGGTCCGGGTCTGGCTCCGCCTGTGGCTCATGTTTCAACGACTCCGTAGGCTTCCCATCAAGACAATCGTTGACATGTACCGAGACATCCTAGAACAACCATTATCACCAGCACCAGAGACACAATCCGCACAACTTACCGTCTCAGACAAGCCTGTCAAAACAGCCTGACATACAGGGCACACAGGCGCTTCACAGCCAAAATCTTCACCCAAAATCCCGCTATCATCAAGTCCAATGTCACCTTTGAAATCCTCATCATCGTCAAATGCATCTAAGAAGTCTTCTTCGCCTCGGAACTCGTTCTCTTCAAGATCGTCAAAATTCGCGTAAACATCATCGTCGTGGCTCGTGGCTTCTCTTACCGGTGGTGTGTCGACATCGACTGCGGGAGCCTGGGTTTCGTCTGCCGAGTTTAATTTCCCGTCCGATATCCCGGCCTCAATCTCAGTCCCATTCTCGTATTCCCTGAACTGCTCCAGATCCTCGCTCTCACTGTCCGATTCATCAATGAATGGCCCGCTGACTGACCGAGACGGCTTCTGAGTTGACTTCGATTCAGTGCCACTCTCGCTCTCCGTCTTCTTCTTATCCTCCCCACTCCCATTATCAATATCTTCCTCCAGCGAGATACCCTCCTCAACCCTCCTCTTCTTCACACTGCCCCCATTTTCCTGAAACCGTTCCTCCTCTTCCTCCCAAATATCCTCCGGCGTCTTCTCCCTCACATAGTCCCCCCCACTCGTGAAATTAACCACCTTCTTCGCATCCTCCAAAAACAACCCCCCAGCACCAGCAGCCCCAGTCCCACTCCTCAATCCCGAGGACCCCTCATCGCCAGTCGTATTATTTTTCTCCGCTTTCGTCGCGAATTGCGTAATCCGCGACTGCCGAGATGTAGCTTTCGGCGGTCCGTCCGCCTTTTGGAAGAAACTGAGAAGGCTGGTGTTGCGTTTCGTGGCTTTCGATTTCGCCGACGTTGACCGAGAGGGCGTAGATGGTTTTCGAGGAGGGAATGGCGTAGGCATCGTTCAGGCTTTGTGGTTGATCGTGTGCTTTCGTTGCTTTATCGCGTGGTCAAAGTGGCGGGCGGGCGGATGATTTATGCGTGAGGGTATGGGCTTGTATGGTGGATTGGGGGCGTCAAAGCATATTCATATAGATCTAGGTCGTGATTATAGTATAGTATAGGAATGATGTATCTGTACAGATGATTGCCTCATAAAAATCGAGGAGCGCGGAGAGTAGAATCCGAGACAGTCGGACTGGTCGAATTAGCCAAAGCGGCGAAAAGAGATAAGGCGCGGGCGCGGCGGGCGGAGACTCGACTCGATTTTCGCGACACGAAGTCAGGTGACCGTTCCACCCATTGGTTTCCTTTTGCGGTTGTTACTATCAAATTTAGGAGAGACATTACTACTACTTATGATGGTAGGTGGATGCGATTTGTTATTTGTTTTTTTATTCATCTTGTTACCACTAGGTATCCGCACACAATGTTCTTTCTTCTTTCTATCATGTGCCCACTGCAGCAGAGCTTTACCCTGTAAACCTGTTCGTCCTCCCACTGACATATAGTACTTCTCATAGTCAGTAAGATGCAGGTGTACCCATTATCATCACCATCATTCAGCGTCGGCAATTTCGAGCAGATCAAGTCAGCCCCAAACACAGGAGCAGTACTCCGTCCAGTCACTCTGCTCTGGCCCGATGCTTTCCATCCACGCATACCCTCCTTTTTATATCTCTCTCTTTCTCTCCGCCATGTTTAACCATGGATATCAGCAACATAATAAAAGTGAAACCCGCATGACAACGACAAACATCATCACATCGTGAAGATTAAATCTGCAAATCAAAGAAGAAATAAAAAGGAAAATACATAAAAGAAAACTTTAATCCCATCCGTAGAAGAAACCCAACCAAAGCAACAATCCATCTATCAAAGCAAAATCACCGAGCTTTGCCAGCCTGGTTCGCAGCTTCTGTTCATACCACACCAATATTAGCAATCCATAACCCAAGATACGGTTGCACAGATACATCTGTGTTCCTTCAATCAGATAGAGAGACCAGGGATGAAGCATACCTCTCCTCGTCGCATCCTCCAAAAGCCCAATATCGACCTCCGACCTCGGCAGCATAACATACCGCACCACACTACCACGGATAAACATGTTCTTCACGGACGACAAATGCGGGTATTTATCCAGGTCCAGGACATCGACATCATCCAGCTTAATGTTCAGGTACTGGTCGACGGATTTGAGAGTGCCGCGGATGCGAATGTCGTTCTTGAGTTCGATGGTCACCGTTTGGTTGGTAAGAGTCTTGAAGAAGCTGCAAAGTAATTATCCCCGTGGTGAGAAGTATTAGCCGTGGTTGCCTTGGTGCTGGTTTGAGGATCTCGGGCGCTTTCTTACCTGAAGAAGAGCATGGTTGCGGTGCGAGGTGGGGGAGAATTGGAGGGGTATTGATGCGGTCGGAGTTGTGGTTTTGTTGATGAATAGACTAGTAGCGCATTGGCTGCTGAAGATTTGGTAAGGAGGTAACGATTGTATCCTTTCCTTGTGAGGCTGGCGGTGGGAGACGTGAAAACGAGGAATATGCGATTATCTGGAGCTGCGGGTATGATGCTGCGGTTTGGTGTTGAGCATTGTAACCTGGTCACGTGATTGGCGTGTCAGCTATGCTGGCTATGACATTTGATCGTGGAATCAACACTGGTTTGTTCTGAGTATTCTAGTCAAGTTTGGAGCATGCTTATAGTGTCAATTTCCTGAAAGTCAAATATGCATGATTCAGGTATGCGAGACGTAGACAGCAGGTTCGCCGGGTGCATATCTCAGATTTAACCTACTACTTACTTGTACTAACAACTTACTAGTATAGCTACAAAATATATAATATCGATCTGCTGGGTATCAAGTGAGTGTCATTGTCAACAGCTATCCACCCTAGTGTCCACCAGCCATCAATCTGCATTCATCATCTCTCATTCCGCATAAACAAAGGGGTATTTGAAAAGAGCGATAAGAAAGACACAACTCCCGCTATTACATTAGATGCGCCACCAGGGCAGCTTGGGGTTCATAGTGTACCTTGGGCAGCCTGAATGAAACCTCAGCGTCGAGTGGAAAGAGAATGGACGGAGAAGCGCGGCTCAGCCTTTGCTAGATTTCCGTCCGTGACGCTTCTTCTTCTTCGGCCTCGGTTTCACTGCCCACCCCGACAAGCAGGTCCAGCCTGCACCGTTCTTGCGTCCCTCATCAAACACACTCCCAATACCTGCCAGCAGGTCTTGTTGGTCCATTCCCAGTTCTGTTTGCAGTTTTACAAGCCATTGTTCCCAGATCCAGCCACCTAGCACACCCGTAACACTGGCGATATCTGCCGTGCTCCCGACTGGGCCTTGCACCGCTTCACATTCTTCAATGAGACTCTTCACCCTCGGATCGGGGGTCTCCCTGGGCGGTTCAGACTTGACCGGCTCAGTACCCATAGGTAGGAACATCCAGGCTCGCTTCACATCCGCAAAGTTCTTCTGCAAGCGACTGAGAAAGCCTTTGGTTGGTGTCGGGTCGTAACCCAGAGCCCTGAGACCGGACGCAAATTCAGCTGACCTGGCAGATGCTTGCGGGCCAGCACGTGTGATTTCTGCATCCATGACAAAGAACTCCAAGTAACCACCTGGCTTGAGGCAGCGTCGACATTCTTTCAGGCAAAGGTCATACTGGTCCTGAGTCTCCCCAGACGGGCATTCTTTCTTCAACAAAGCAGGAAGAGAGCGGGCTGAGATCACATCGAACTTATTGTCGGCGAACGGCAGTTTCCACAGTTGGGATACAGGAAGGTGCCGGTGATTGGGAGGTCCTTTGATGCCTGGGTTGACTTCCTGATGCTCAGTAAAGACGGTATATACTTTAACATGAGGATACTCGTGAGCCAGCTGCCAAGCCCATTCGCATGAGGCGTGTCCGCCGAGGTCGAGGATCCGTAGTTGACGGGGAGTTCGTTTACGCGTGCTGGACAGCTGCTTCAGAGCAGGACTCACAATGAGGCGACCCCCGTTGATATATCTCAGAGCATCCATGGCCCACATCGGTTGACGAATTTGAGACAACACAGTCTGCTCCTTCTCAACTATGGAGAACTGGGCCTTTTCTGCCAGAGCCGAGTCCATTGTTGAGTTGCGAGGCGCCAATGAGAAGGGCCCTTTATAAGCTGGACGTTCCGGACGAGCGATCTCATAGTTTCCACGCAAACGCTTGATGTGCGCATCTGTTAAGCCCAGTCGGACAGATTGAACAGCATCAAATCTCGTGTTCCGATGCACAAAGGTGTCCCGACTGCCGGACTGTTGCTGGACCGCCTTGAATCCGCGCCAGTATATGGAGTCTCTACTCGCTAGTAAAGAGGGGCGAGAGCTGGGTGCTTCTGGAAGAGCTTTGGCAAAACGAACCGACTGCTTCCGGCTTAACTGATTGAGTGATTGCCGGTCGGTCTTGGGCCCAACTTCCTCGTTGTAAGCCTCTTCATCCAACATGTTCACGGGATTGGTCTCGTTAAGAGCTGAAAGGTAAGAAGCCTGGGCTGCCAGCCAATCGCTGGTCCGGTCCAAACCCGACATTGCCTTTTGCTTTAGTTCGCTCTCATAGTCCTCGTCTCGTTCGTACTGATCGTCCGGGCCGATGGGCGGAAGAGCATCGTCCATAGCATCATCCTCAGAGCATGCTTGATCATCGAATTGATCGAATAATTTGGGCGTCTTCTCCTCGGGAATTCTGATAGCGGTGGGTGGTCCGATGGGATCATACACGGCTGTCAGCTGTTCTTCTGTCGTCCGTTCGGGGTACTCTATGACATGCTCAACTACCTCCCCTTCGGTCCGGGAGAATGGTAGCTTGTAAAAGCCCTCGGCAGTGGCAGAAGTCGGAGGTTTATTTCCACAGGGGATAGACCACGTGTGACGTGCTCGTGGACCCAGTGAAGCAAAGAAGCCACCAGGTGAGGGTATGCTCAGCCTGCTGAAACTATACCCTGAGAGTTCCGACGCCGGAGTGGCATCATCGGCACTGCGCGGGCGTTCTGGAGGCATACGGATCTGCCACATCTCTTCGTTGGACTCAGAAGTTTCCGACCAGGGATCTGGAGTTCCATCGAGGGAGATGTGCCTCAGTGTCTCTAAGGCATCTGCAGGAAGAGATACGCCCCGGTCAGATGGTGTATCTCCCCTTATTGGCTCCGCATCCAGGTCAATTGACGACGCGGTCGACTGGCCGCCCGGGATCCGTGGAAACCTGCCCAAGACCTGACGCCAGTCCTCGTTGGCGCTCTCAATAGCGATCTGAATGCTTTGGGTATCCGGCTCGGCCTCAAGATCTTCATCCTGTGAATCTTCTAGTTCGTGACGAACATGCACGTCTTGCGCAGTCCAGTCATTGTCTGGAAGGGATTGCAGGTCTGGAGTTGCTGGAGCACTGATGTTTGACACCTGGTCAGAGGAGACACTTCCGTCCAAGGACGGCGGGGCATGCACGGCCGGCACCGAATGGGCGAGCATTGACAGGGCGGCTGGGGAGACAGGAATCTTTGGCGGCGGAGTTGGCGGAATCGGAGAGCTCTTTGCAGCACCATGCAGTGATGGCCACATTGTGGACGACGGTATCGTGAGACTAGGGTACCGGCTGCGGGAGACCGGAGAAAAAACCGAAGTACGCGTCGTGGGTGTCACCAAGCTTGTTGGTCGGGTGCTAGCGAAGGAAGTGCACTCATCACTGATGTCCGAATCGTCATCCGTTGCATCGTACAGGTCTTCAAACGGCTGCATCTGACGCTGCCATTCAGTGTCTGAACAAGAGGAGACGGAGCCTGCGGATATTGGCGAGAAGAATCGAGGCAGTCGAGACACTGATGAAAGCCCGCTGGTCTTGAGCTTCAGCTGTGGTGGCTGTGGAGGTTGTGGTGCCTTTGGTGTTGTCTGCTTGGCACTGGATGCAACAGGCTTTGTAGAGTCTGTATAATGCGCCTCGCGCGCGTCCTCTACTATCGTATCAAGCCTCGTTCCTCGCACCTGTCGCAGAGGTGGGCATCTGCCCGTTGCGGGACGGTATACGTCCGTCATGATGCCCAAATGTGCCCAATGCTAGTCTTATCCTTCCTTCGATTACGATATGGGATGCAGGGTATGATGCAGCAGTAGTCGACTTAGACAACGTATATCCAACGAAGCAGCTAGGGTATCTCGATTGCAGTTGACACCGATCAACGGTTCAACGATATCAGAGAATTAGCAGAACGAATGATTACCCAGCTACCAGAGCTGAGAACACAATAACTTGACAGAAACACAAAACACAAAGAAAAAGGTGGTGAAGAATCCGACCGAGACGGGGTAAGGTGAAGATCACCTTTGGTGACCGGTAGCGCTCGCTCTACTAATAAAGCGCTGGAAAGAGGGGAAGGGAGGGAGATCTGGAGGGAACACCCTCCCACCATCACCAGACCTGCAGGAACTACTGCAACATTGCGCACAAAGCACCCGTAATCCCTGCCACTGGACAAGCTGAAGATGCTATCATTGGTGGTAGGATGATGGGCGCTTCGGCCACGACGAATCCGAGCAGTCGGCCAGCCATGATGGGCGACAACGGACGGACTCGGGAGGCAAGCGTTCCAATCAGCGTGGGGGGAAGATCTTTGTGTCTGCAAAGAACCGCCCTCCAGCCAGAGATTGAAGCTGTGTGTGATGGGGGAGGTGTTCGTGTGATTGGCAGGCTCTAAGCGCCCAGTGCTCTATCTTTAGAAAACGATGGGCAGCCGGAGATAGTCCAAGTGGTCAATAGCCGTTGCCGGTGCGTGCCATGGGTGGATTGGCAGTGGTAGTGGACTTGTTAGTAGACTAAGGATTTGATTTCGAATCATCATGATCAAGCATCGCTAGAGATTGATGAAAGAGGGCGTACTACTGTAGATATGGGATGATGATAAGCAGCGCGGGTAACCCAGCCACAGCCAGCTTAACTAGCATAAGCCAACTCACTCACATACTATTGAGCATGGGCCAGCTGTCGACTGCCGCAGGAAAGCACAGAAAAGGGAAATCCGGTCCGCGTACAAATCCCAACGGCAAACTGAAAGGGGAGATGGTTGAGTCACCGGACCAGCGTGTCGGCATCGGAAAGGATGGTCACGACAGGGAGGATGGATGAACTGGACAAGGAGATGTGCACTACTGGCCAAGTGGATGGCCAATTCCCAGTTGGGGAGGACCCCGTGACATGCATTGGGCGCGAGTCTCGACCGGGTGTTCAGGCACCCAGGCCTCCACCGGGCTGCAGCCAAGTCTTCCCCCCACGTGCAATCCAGGACCCTAGCCCTTATCGACGGGCAGCAGATTTCCCTTTTGGGTACTCCGGAGGGATTGAACTGACGTCGACAGGCAAAAACTGAATACTACAAAAAATGGCGGTGATATCAACATCCGGCTGACTTATGGCTCGTTGCCCTTTTGGCCGTGATGGAGTCTCCATACTATTCTTGATATCCACTCCCGGGTGTGGCACTCCCTTCCCACACCCTCCCCCCCATTTCCTTTCACCGCGCCCCTCGTTCGTCGGTGACCCGTCATAAGAATAATAATTGTCCGTAACTATAAATCCGGTGCCCCTCCACTTCCTCCATCTCCGGTGGTACCGCATAATACCGAATCTTAAATAAATTCCTTCTTAAATCTTCTTCATATCTTCATCCCAGAAACCAATTAGCCCTACTACCTACCTCCAAATCTCTTCTCTCCTCTTCCTCAATTCTTATCCACCATGTCCCCGCCAGCTATCATTGCTCCCTCCATCCTGAGTGCCGACTTCGGCACCCTGGGCAGCGAATGCTCGACCAAGATCGCCCAAGGATCCGACTGGTTGCACGTCGACATCATGGACGGCCACTTCGTCCCCAACATGACCTTTGGCGCCCCCGTCGTCACCAAGATTCGCTCCCATGTTGCTCGTCCCACCGAACCCCACGGCAAGGGTACCTTTGACTGCCACATGATGATTCAGGAGGTGCGTCTGGCTCCCTTGCTACCACTATCGTACATACCTCAATGAACCTCAAGCTCATGCTCATTCCCCATACAGCCCCACAAATGGGTCAAGGACTTCAAAGACGCCGGCTGTGATCTCTACTGCTTCCACTACGAAGCCGCCATTTCCTCCACCGCCGCTACCAGTCCCGCCGACAACACCACAACCACCAAGACCAGCCCCAAGGACCTGATCCGTTATATCCACGACGAGGGCATGCAAGCCGGAATTGCCATCAAGCCCGATACCCCCGTCGACGTGCTCTGGGATATTCTGGCGAATGAGAACGAGAAAGAACGTCCGGATGTGAGTTGAACCTACTACATCCCCATAAATTTCCCCCCTCCGCACATCTTTGCGGAGCATACCCCACATCCATATACTACTAGTCTATAGTGGAGAGAGATGTTGGTTAAAGTTCAAGCTACGGAGTACGTAACAACATGCTAACGCTATCTCTCTTGGCAACTATCAGATGGTCCTTGTTATGACCGTTCACCCCGGATTCGGTGGTCAGAAGTTCATGGCTTCCGAGCTGCCCAAGGTCAAAGCTCTGCGCGAGAAATACCCTGACCTCAACATCGAGGTGGATGGTGGCTTGGGACTGGGCACGATTGACCAGGCTGCTGAGGCTGGCGCCAACGTCATCGTTGCGGGCTCGGCCGTCTTTGGCGCTCAGGATCCCGCCGACGTCATCGCTAAGCTCCGCGAGACTGTTAACAAGTATCGCAAGGAGTAAACTGAAACGAATAATAATTCAATAAATAATCAAATATAGAAGAGGGGGGAAGGAAACCATAAACAAAAGTTTTCCGGCTCATGTGACACGATTTTCGTTGCGATCGCTCGCATTTTTAATTTGTTCTTTGCGTTTTCTAGCTTCTTCCTGGCGCCTTACAGAATTCTCATGGGCCCTTGTTCGGGTGTTTTCCCTGTCGACATGTGATGAGCGAAAAAGGGTCAAAGAGTACTTGATCGGTTACGGGCGGATGATGCGCGTTCAGGCATATTTAGAAGGTTATGGGTTGGGTATACGGTTCGGATAGAGTAGGTAAACAGCGGGATCATCAACTATGTTTGTAATGGGAAATGAGTCCAGTTCGAACATATACAGCATTGAAAACAAGTTACAAAGAAAGAAATAAACAGCAAGCAAGCAAGCAACAGTGAAAGCTGGTATCTTTACAGGGAACGAAGATAAACGGTAAGAGTCTCGCGATAACCGAAACTAGGACGCTGAGTCGTATTCGTCGTCTCAAAATGAATGCAACCGCAAAACCCCGGCCGTTGACTTTGGCAGCCCGCGCTTTCTGTCGACCGGGGTCCCATCCTGGGTTTCACCACCAATCCTACTCTTCTTCGATCGTCTCCTCCTGGTCTGTCCGCGCCGCATTATCCTCCCTCAAGGATTTGAGAAGATCCTGTTGACCCCCGGAAATAGACTTCCGCAGGTCCTGTGCAACTTTTTCTTGTTCTTCTTTGGAAGTGGCGGAGATGATGGAGCCACGGTGGTGCTGAACCATTCCTAAAGCTTCAGCAGCATCAGCATGAAAATTAGCAGACGACTCTGCAGCTACCTCGGGCACGAGAGGCGGCCGCTTAGGCTTGCTAGCCTGAGTATCGGGAGCAGCCTCGTTCCCACGTACAGTATCTTCCTTGCCTGCTTGGGACTGCTCGCCAGCCGCAGGGGTCTCTTTCGGGGTCTCTTTTTGTTCTGTAACTGCCGGGGCGGGTTCCTTTGCCGGGGCAGGTTCCTTTGCTGGGGCAGGTTCCTTAGCCGGGGCAGGTTGAGTGCCGCTACCTTTAGCCTTGGCAGCGGCCTCCCCACTAGCCTGGCGCATAGCAGCCGTGATGGCAGTGTCTTTCGGGGTCTCTTTAGACGGGGGGCTTTGAATCTTGATTGTGCTCTGTTTGAGGGTAGTGGGTTCGGGGGTGGGGGTAGATGCGGCCGAGGGGGGTGCGATCGGAGTACTAGTTGCGGGAATACTGTCGATGTCTTCGACACTGTTAACCTGCATCCTCAGCTCACCATACTCATTCCATTCTTCAACTTGCTCCAAGTCCTGTTATTTGAAGATGTTAGCTGGTAGTCTACAGTATATATTTGAGCATCCGTCGCTAGTAGTAGCCACCTAGCCTCTCTGCGAGCCTCTCTGCGCTGGGATGGGGGAGGAATACGTACTCCGACAACAGTGCCGAATTTCACCAAGCCAGGAAGTTTCTTGCCCTTGGAGCGACGGCCCCAGAGCTTCCTGGCTACTTCGTCCGTGGCCACATCGATTGCGCGGAAGGGGAGCTTGTTGGCTTTGAGAATCGTCTCCAGGCGTGCCGTTGCGGTGACGATGTGGGACGACCCCGCAGTCAGGGAGGTGTAGAGATAGAGGGTGGGATCGGACATGTTGATGTACAAGGAGAGATAATCCGATCGTAGGGGTGAAGAACGGGGAAAAATCAGATGGTGGATGGCGAAAGAGAGTATATCGAACGTAGAGAGTGAGAGGAAAGTATTAGGACGAGGATGAGGGGAAGAAGACGAGGATGACGATCGCTTTTGATGGAGGCCCGCTTCCCCTTTTGCAGCAGCGCGACGGCGCGCCTTCCCGATTGTTCTTTTTTAAGGGGCAGAAAAAGTGAGGGACTTAAAAAGCGCTTCACCGCCGAATGACGTGGCTTCCTAAGGCCGGCGAAAGATAGGTCACGTGGAATGGTGGTCCATGCAGTTTCGAGTAGATTATTGGAAGAGAGTGTAGTATGTAAATTGACAGAAAATGAATTAATTATTGGATTGACCCTTTCATTGTCTGGTGAATATATTCAGCTGGAAAGAAGGTGGAGGATGCGGCGCAAAGAGGCAAGAGCCGACCCTATATAATCGGCCCTAGTGATTACAGACTAATGTCGTGACAGCCTCTTTGCAATTGTGGGGGATCTGATTCCAGGGTGGCAATCTGACGTCAGTGCATCTTTCTCGTCACTATCTCACAAAAGAACTATGGTCCTTTTCTTCCTCATTTTGTACCAACTACACACCAGGCTTTTCCTCCACTCTCCTCTCGGTACCATCCGACCTCTTCTCCACCTTCGATCGGCTGCTTCCAAGGTTATTTTTCTCGCGCTTTTGCCTGCGCAATGGCAGACCCCGAGTCGACACTGCAACTGAAAAAGTGGGTGGAGTCTTCGATTGTCGCAAGATAAGTGGCACGTCTGATGTCACGGTCCCATTGATCGTACAGGGCCCAAAAGTGAGCTATCGTAGTTCCAACGGCCCATGACTTCATCGTCTAGCTGTTCGCCAGCTCTCTTGCAAATCTTCAAGCATTGTCGCTGAACCAATTTTGTCTCAAATCAATACAATGGAACGTCTGCCGGTGAGTGCACGAAGGTATGCATATGGCCCGCGTGAGTTGCATATGTCGACTGGCTGCGTATATGATGCAAGTGTAGAAGAGGCCAAGAAGCATCTGATATTCCTCAATACCTGTTTGGTATGGTGGTATGATTGTTGCGCAATGACCACATAGCTACGCCGTTGAAGACGGCTTCGAGAAGGGCTGCAGAACACTAATTCACAGGGATTGGAGCTATAAAGTACCATGTAGATGGTGGCGAGGTGGGACTAGTTGAACGTCAAATCTACTTAAGTACAAAGTACGCCCCCATCAACTTGGGTGCTTTTTGTCACGTACTTGTGTACTATGATAAAGTAGCAGTTCAGACCCTTGAACATGCCCTTGAGACAATCTAGCCCGATTGTTTCTCCCATCATGCCTTATGGTAGCCGGTGTCTTTCCCCATATTTACCTCACCGTCAGCTCTCGGGTGAGCCCTCTCAACACCCACCATTGACGAGCAACACGACTCCTATAGTTGTGCATAGAGCCGTTTCATGTACCATGAAGTACTTCGTCACTTCAATACCAGGCAATAAGCAATGGCCTGATAACCATGCACATTACGGAATGAAGTCAAAAGATATCATGGTATTATATATATTCGTGCCTTACTAGTAGTATGATGACGCTGACTCCCCCAATTGCTGCAGTCGACACCACGAACAAAGTTGAAAATGCTTTGAACATAACACCGAGGCCCCCGGATCAATTGAAATAGTGTTTCCACAACGAATTATATGGTGGTAAGGTAGGACCGCAGGTATAGTGCGGACATCGAAAGGATGTCACAAATTCGATAGAGGCCTGTGATCATGAAAGAAATACTGATTGTCCCCCTTGCGAACTCAAGAACTCAATCAAATTTGCAAATGGCGAAGATTGCGAGGGTTATTATAAGATGATCGCAAGGCAATAACGCATCGAAATGCTAAAGTCTGAGGACCTCATGCAACAGGAAGGGTCAGCTTTTGAAGATTTTTTTCCGCAGTTTCGGTAGATAAGGCACAGCGACATCGCCTCATGAAGTGACTTCCTCCAGAACTGATTGAGGGTCTGTATTGGTGTTATCAACTGTCACCCTTTTAGATAAAACGAGGACTTTTGAACAAATTAAGCTTATCCGATTCCCCTGATGCCAGAGTTCCGCTAACATTTGGAAGTAGAAACGGAAGGATGCAGACTATTCTAGTAGTAACAACAGCCAGAGCTATTTGAAGCCACAGCCTGATGATGACTGCTCCGATGGTACCATCGACGTACCTGCCTAGTTGCTACTCTTATCAGCACACTGCAATGTATACCACAGTGCATGCCATCACAACCTCACCATTTGCCTACCGAAGCGAATGTGACAATATGAAAGCATACTGATTTAAATCAAATGCAGAGTAATGTGGCGCAGATGTCGACGTCAACGCGGTGGCAGAAATGCTGTATCAAACTTCCTTGTGAAAGGGACAGTGTCCGCGAAGACAAGCGAGAATAGCCGATGGCCAGTCTAGAACCGCTTGAGCTAAAAGAATGGTACCTCTCCTCCAGAGTCTTGCACCTCGTACGTGGCTGAGGATTACTCGGCGTACAGAGTACTCATCATACTAGCTACACCGATCTGCAAGGATCTATCTGACAACTAGAGCTGACAAGTCTAGCCTGGAGATGCGCCATTTGGCGTTGCAACGGAGCATCGCCACAGCCACTTGGACGAAACAAGGCTCAGCGGTTAATCCTTCAGGCAATGCAAGGCTTAGCAATAAAGCAGCAAAGCAACGATTGAGGAAGTGAGACCATCCACGAATATTCGACTTGTTCAGCCGCGTCATCATGGAATTTTCAATGTGGGATCCAATCAAAGACACAGATCCGGCCCAGGGCATAGAATCCCGTTGCCTTTGGCGGTCATAGCACCCATTCAGGCGAGGACAACGAGCTGATATTTGGCCCAGCGGCTGGCTAAACGCCGTTCCAGACTCGCTTTTGAAGGACGCCCAGGCCTGCCTGTGGCGGGCTGTCCGAAACTTGGTGAATTGCACGTATAGGCAGTCCTTCCTAGCTGTCAATACACCGAAGGATCGGCCCAAACAAGGATAACTGGTGTTCGTATCAGCATGGATCAATCGGCCAGATCATTTGAACATACCGAGCGTTCAGATGCCCTGGCCAACCGGGCCTACGCAGTCCCAGCCAGTTGGTGGGCTTCATGAGATCTCACACATCGAGGGTTGATCTCGCCTCTTCTGTCCCGTCTTCCAAGCCATTATCGTTGCCCGAATCTCCAGTCTCAGCCCATAGCCTGACTCGATCACATCCTGAACAGGGATCGAGTAAGGCAGAAAACTGACTAATTAGGACTGGTTGGGCATGGGCGGCAGCCGTTTCCGATCACCCCAGCGAAGATGTTGTCATAGTGGTTTCAAGTAAGATGATAAGTTTAGCCTTTTGGCGCGAAAAAAGAGGTGGGTGTTGGTGACCTAAGTAACTAGTAGACTAAGTGCAGTGACCTGAATCCTTTCGACCGTCCGCGTTTCTATGGGAAGGGCGGGTGGCCCAACAGCTCCGGCCTCAAATCTTAAATGATTCGCTGTCAATTGCAGTTTGGCAAGATAGCGCCAACCGGGCGTCCCATGGAACCTTCCAATGTTCGGTAACTGTCCCAAGTCTAGATACTTTCCCCTTTCGACCCGAAAAAATAATAATAATAATAATAATAATAATTAAAAACCCAAACAGAAATAACAAGCAAACAGACACAATCACCAACTACCTAGTCTAACTACTAACTATTCTCCAGGGATAAAAATGTCAGCTTTGCAAGGTCCTTGGTTCGGAAATAAGTTAGCGTGACAACTGCCCAAGTCAGGCATACACTAAAACCTGGAGAGAGGAAAGAGAGAGACCGAGAGAGAGAGGAGGGGGATTCTCAACCCAAAAACTTTCTTCCCTGCTTTTTTCCACCATCAACCGGCAGCACACACTGCTGCTGTATGCGCATCCTGCATGGAATCACAGATGGTACGAACTAGTGGACCACTTTGAAAGCCTTTTCCAGCCTATCATCCCACCCCCTTCAGGGAAATTGGACGATCATAGAACGTCTAGCGGGCCCGCCGATCCCCTCGCCCATCGAATAGGGGTGCTTTGCTACCACCGACCATGACGCCCACGGAATAGCGTCACGCATCTATTTTTGTCCCCCTGTCGTTTTCTGTTCTTTCCCCTCCCTTTTTCATCCATCATTATCATCATCATCGCTTCTCCAGACAACGCCCAAGTCGATCGGGGCCAAGGTACGAAAAAGTACCTGCGTATTAAACATAATCCAAGAACCAGGCAGGCAGGCAGGCATCGTTGAACATTGTCGCCCAGCTGGCTTCACTAACACTAACTAACTTACATCCTACAACAAATCTAAAATGTCCGCCTAAGACTTATCACAGTGCATTGGTGTGAACTGTGAAAAACAAGTTGTGAGCGCAGCGAATGCTAGCTAGCTAGCAATCTAGTTTAGTTGAGTTAGTTTAGTTCCATCAGCTTTGTCATTTGATGCCAGCCAGGAGGAGAGGACCGTATGATCATCATCTCCATTGACTCCATATACTTTACAGTTGTACTATAGGTGAGTTGCTTTCCATTCATCGCTTTGACTTTTCAAATCAATGCATTCTCTCTGCTTATTTCCCGTAAACGAGTCATTTTCGTTACTCCGTACTGGTTGAGAAAATTGTCGCATTATTGCATAGTATCTCACTCTTACTCTCGGATGCGTGAATTGAGATTGCTCGTGAAATCCCGTTGTTCCCGGACTTGGTGCTATATTTGGTAAGGTAGGTAGTAAATCCGTAGTTACTTATCGCCCTCCACTTTCTGGGAGACGGGCTAGGGATAGGATTTCTTGTTTTGGTTGTAAAGGGTAATTTTAGTAGATACATACATCTGATTGTAGGGTTGTTGTCATGTACTAAGTGGATGGGGATGGCTACTATTATTGACTAGATGGTATTCGTTATCGAAGTAGTAATTATCACGTGGTGTGTGTTGGTACTATGGTCTGTCATCAGGACTCTACTCATGAGCTGTGCACTTAGTATTGCTATTCTTGGTGTTGCTTTTGATGGTGTAAGATACTAGTAGTTGTCCTTTTGTTGTTATGATCATGATACTTTCACTGGTTTCGCTTGCTCTGGCGCGACTGGTTGAAGACTACTCTTGTATATATAGTACTACTTTAGATCCGATCAGTGGCACTAGTACGGTGTTCAATATATACGATTTGTAACGGAATAAGTTCTTGTCAATTAGAATATCGTGCTATCGAATTGTGTTTGCCTGCCAGCAACGGTGTGTATTTCGCAGAGTAGCTGGGAGTTGGTGAAGAATGTATCCGTATCGGACGATAGGAAAAATGGTGGGGGGGGGGATGGGAAGAAAACTGAAGCGGGATGAAGTCAGGAGGGGCAGAACTGGCAATGACGCAGTTCATCGCCGACATACTACTATGCTCGATGCTGGTTGATCTGTTGAAAGGCAACAGCAATTTCCAAACTTCAACAAATTTCTCCCTCACCGATCGTGGGGTTGATTGTTGGTTGTTCACTACTACGAAGCAGTCTCGGTATTTGGATGCAGTTGAGAGGTAACAACTACTTTCCAGACCGACAAGACAGTAGAGAAGCCACATTCGCCACCGGATTTACTCCGTAGAGTTAATGATTATTCCCCCAGTCGTTTTTCTTCGATACAGTGTCTAGATTGAGGACGAAGTGGTGAATGCTTGAGCCAGTGTGCGCATGACTCACGGGTTCAACTCAATACCCCGCTGTTGCTCATACTGCGACGGTGTACTCCGTTCTGCCGACCAGCGAGGGCCGGAGATTCGAATGTCTTCGAGAATCGGCAAGAGGGGGATTTCCTAGAACAAATCCTCCACCCGCGCAGATTAAGCCGGAGACAACAGTGGAGTAGCAACTCTGCACACGAGTATCCCACGTATCTAGTCTAGTCCCTGATTTCCCTGGCTATGTTTTCTTCATTCGGGAAGAGACACTATGAGCGCCGTCGGTCATTGGCTCGAGCCATGTTCAGACACGATAGCCGGTTCCAGAAACGGCGCTTTACCCGTTCGGGGACACACTATGGACTCCTACGGTGCAGTAGTCGGTCCATAGTGGTCACTTCAACTCCGTAGTATCGTCATCGCTTGTTAGGCCTCAAAAAAGCGGTGACTCTGCAGTGGGCTCGTGGTGGGTGCTGGAACTCTGAAACAACGGTGGAGGAGCGGTTGACCGCCAAAAGCGCTTGCCTTCGGTGAGAGCTTGAGGGGGGGGGGAAGCGCGTTCCTAACTCCTAAGCCATCATGATTTGGTTAGATTCTATCATCGTGTTGGCAGGGTGGAGGTGAAACGCCAGCACATAGACCACTCCATCCGCAGCAACCCTTAGTCACTTACAGCGTTCCTCGACTAACTCATTGAGTAAGTAGTAGGATGGGCTAGTTGATCCCATGGACCAACTGTTCTTCCTATCCCACCGTGAGTGAACGATTAATAGTAAGTACTACATCCGTAGTAGTCAAGCTGTTCTCTCAGCTGTCAGTGATCTAGTCCTGATTGGGAGAGAGAGTCACGTGTAACACGTGACACTTGGTCTCCCTTCCCGCGTATTGGGCGGCATCTTCATCCGCCCCACACAATCCCCCTTCCCCAAATGATCGGTCCATTGTCGATAGTCTTGAGATCGTCCGGTCACGGCGCCAGAGGAAGATCCGGGAAATATTCTAGCAGCTGGGTTTACGAAAGATTTTCGTCACCTCTCTGGTACGGCGCTCCATAGCCACCATACCCCTAGAGACCATAGAGTGGGCAGACTACTGTCAGCAGTCCGTGCCAATAATTACCTGATCCAGCTCGTGTCATTCTTGGACGGCCATGTGCAGACAACGCCAGCCAAACCCTGGATGTCTTCCGCGTGGTACCGCGGGTTGGGCCCGGGGACTGTACCCAGGTTACTACCGCTTGCCTAAGTTGTTGCTATATACTATGACCACCGGCTTCTTCTTTTGCAAGATCTAGAGCCACGAAGAATGGGATGCCTGGGGTCGACAACAAATGCTGTTGATACCCAATCGCCCCTTGGGGTTTGCTCATCTGGACTCGACTCCAAAGTGTCGTGTCCAGACACAACGTAGAGGAGGTTTGTGCTCAACTGTTCAGGAGATCTTACTTCTCTCAGTTATTCTGCTGCCGCGCCTGATACGACAACAAGCGACCGCGATAAGGGACAACTTGAGTTCCGGCTGGCTCGTCATTTGCAAGCGCATCACCAACTGACAGAGGAGTAAGACCAACTAGAGTTGGCCGTGACGAGCACTGTGGTGGTAGTGTAGGAGTATGTACGGAGTATGGGGACGAGAAAAGCCCGAACGGGTGTAGCCTGACATCGACGTGGCAGCCGTAGAGTCGAAGGGGGGAAAGTTGGTAGACTTCCCGGGTGCTTTGTACGGAGCAGACGGGCGCAGGAGGCCTGCCACTGGCCACCAACCGGACCGTTGGTACATTGCTCCGCCGCAGCAAGCCACTGCTGGTGGGAGGACTACCATACTCAGGTACCTCAACCTGGAGTCACTGTTCCTACCTTAGACTCAGTAGGTACCTGAGGCTTGCGGAACCACTGCTGGGGAAACAGGCCCAGGATTCTTTCAAGCCCATGTACCGCCGTAGGCGCTGCAGCAGACCGGGTACAGCGTATCAAAGTCCAGCAGAAATGGGCTGGTGCAGCTAATCCCCATAATAATAACCAGACTAGCTTGGGACTCCATAGGAGAGTTGGTCATTGTCGGACTCCGTACAGTAGTAGTAATAATAATCCCGTGCACATAACCCATCATAACCACTCGGATGACTGATCATGGCCCTTCCAGCGCAGCAGGTGCTTTTGCTGGTCCGGGTCGATGACGATGGAATCCGTTTCGCTGCCTCACTTTGGGGCGCACACACCGTGTTTGTCCGTCCACTGCGACTCGTCCGATCGATGTGTCTAACCCGTTGCAACCAGGTCCATTCGGGCCTCTGTTGAACAGTCAGCGTGTCACCCTCCCCTTGACCTTTCCCAGTAGGTCTAGTCCTGACTTGGGTGGTGGTGTGTCTTTCCATATTTTTTCCCTTTGCTGACTGAGGGCCGTCATTAGTGGTCTGCTGGACGTGGGTTGGTCGTGTTCTCTCCCTGAGTCGGTCCTTCTTTTTCCTACCTTACAGTGCTTAGTGTGCTTTCCATCCATCTCTTTATTTTTCCCTTTTCCTTTCCCTATTCCCTTTTTCCCCAGAACAAGAATAAAAAAAAATAATACTGACGGCCACTGGTTAGTACCTAGTTAAGTGGTCTCTTCTCTTTTCGGCACTAGCGCTCTGATCACCATCTTCGGCCCAGACGGTGAATCGATTTCCCCCTCCTCCCTCCTTCTTTTCCCCCAAAAATTACAACAATAATAATTATTTCCTTCTTCTCTATTTTAGTTTTCTTACCTCTTTCACTTCTTCTGGTTTTGGTTCGCTCACACTTTTCCCCCCCCCTCCTCTTCTTCATCCTGATACTTTCCCTTTTTAGGAAATAGTAAAAAAGAAATGAGGGGACAGAAGGAAACACAGATAAATAATAAGAAGAAATTTTTTAAAGAAAAAGAATCAAAATAAAAAGTCAAATTGGGAGATCAAAATGGGGAAAGCAAAAACTATCGAATGAGAATTAAAGAAATCAGTCACCCAAATCGAGAAAAATCATAATACATCCATACTACTACTACTGTACTTACTAACTTACTACCTAACTCAACTCCTCCCAAAAAAAGTTGCGACAGATCCTGGCCATCCCAAGAGGGTCTGGACTCATCTGGGAGGCTTCCAATCCCTCCCTCCATCTTTCCATCCCCGCCCAGTTTCAACCTCTCGATGGGCCATGAACTCCCTAAACTAACCTGCAACTACTGCTTCTCCTTCTGACGGATCTTTTGTTCACTCATGCTCGTTCCATCCACCATTCGTACCTTACCCAATTTCTCCCCTACTCTTTTCTGCCTCCCCTCCCCTCCTCTTGCTTTTTGCTTTCCTCCTAATCCATTCTCACCTTAGTTTCATCCTTGACCCTCTCCGGACCTTTCGACCAACCCGGGTGTGGGGATGGTGGATGCTCCATTTAATTGATAACCTCTTCCCACCTCATCTGCCTCCTCGTTCTTTATCGTTATCGTCATCTTCCTTGTCAACATCCATCTGGCACTTCCCATTGTTCTCTTACTCCACCGCGCCTTCATATATCTCCTCCCCCCATCTGTCTCTCTCTCTCTCTCTCTCTCTCTCTCTCTCTCTTACCTACTCTCTTCCTCCTCCCTTTCCATCATCTCATCTCATCTCATCTCGTTCAACAATTTTCCCTTCCCCTACTATCTTACCTCTCACGACCCTTCTATCTTATCTGTACCGGCCTTACCTCCTTCTGCCGTGTACTCCTCTTTCTACACTTCAGTGCCTGCCCTGTTGATCTCAGTGTCTATCGGGCTATTCTCTACTACTCTCTATCTCTATATTCCAGTCAGTCCTTCCCCTCTCGTGGTCGCTCTGAGGTGCAAGTCACCAAGAGGGATTTCTCCTGCCATGCATATACTAAATCGCGCTAGCTCTAGAGATCCTCTCCAATCCCCTGAAGTCACTTGATACTGATAGCAGCACCTCCCTCCTCGCTCATCCTACGTGAGAAGAGGCAGCACTCAGCGAGGACTTCTTCACCCACTATGGCTGGCACCATGGCCGACGACGAACTCTTCACAAGGGCCATCTCTGGGTATCGGGACGCTTTCTTGGATCGACACTCCCATCTTCCGGAATCAGAGCGAAACGAACTTTGGAGTCAGCGGTTAAGTCAGTTCATGACCACCACGGCCTCTTCTTCCATATCCTCTGTCGCCTCGTCCAGTTATCGCCCGGTTCCCGGTTCTGGTCTTCCTGAAGATGGCGGCGCGGCTCTCGAGAAATCTGGGAAACGGTTACGACAGGATACCCCCCGGACCCTACCTGGTTCTGGTCTTCCTCCACCGAAACGACGAGTCACCGTATGTGATCTATCTTGGTCTTCTGCTCCCGCCTCTCCTCCATACCTGCGTTTTTACCCATTCTGTCCCTCCCGCGCTATTCCATGATCTTCTTCTCTTCTGTCATCTCCCGCCAACAGTCCTTGGATTGACACTTGGCAGACTCCGGAACCTCCAGTGACCGTTGATCTGACGCGCGAACTGTCTCATGCGTCTTCGCCAGCGGCTCCTGAGACTACTCGACGCCTCTCAAGAACGAATTCTCGGAAAGGCAGCTCGGTCTCTTACTCTGGTCCTGGGCCCTCCTCCCGGCACACGGCTATGGTCCGCTCGCAGAGTCAGCAGATACCGGTTGCTCACCGTCCGTCGCTGACAACCCCTGCAACGGGCTTTCGACACTCCTATGGACCCCAGCGTGTGCAGCGCCGCCTTGACCATGTCAACGAGTACACGCCCTCCGAATACGCCAAACAGTACTTGGATGATTTCCAGGGCCAGGGACACGTCTCGGCACTTTCTATGGCGCTTTCTGCGGATTCGACGATGTCTGGACTTCGGCAAGAACCCCAGTTAAATCAGGGCCAGCCTGACCTGATGGCGACGAACTTCACTGCCATGTCCAACCCCACCATGGTCGAGCAGCCGGTCCAGCCGGCTGCCGTGGAAATGAGCAGGAGTACCACTACGGACTCGCTGTGCGGAGGTTTGGGAATGATGAGATTCGATTCCTCGGGACCGAATCTGGACTCCAATTTCTCATTTTCCGTTCCCTCTGAATTCGTCACCTCCACCTCCCCCATGAACGTCCCCTTCCCTGCTTCTTTCTCATCTATGCACCGACACCCAAACCCCGAAGTCCCCCTCCCCTTCACTGAGCCCTCTGGCTCGATGTCATTTTCTTGCTCCGCTCCATCCTCCACATCCTTCCATCCACCCATTCCTACACTTTCTCCGTCCACTGCGACGGAGATGAGGCCTTCTATGTCTGTCGAGAGCGACAGCTCGTCTCTCTCTCAGCCATCGAGGGCGGCTCGCAGGACCCAAGAACAGATCGTTCAGGGTACTCGACCCATTGCTCCTAAAGCCGAGCCGCACAGCAGCTCACCCCCCAAGGTGGCTGAGCAGCACAAGATGATTCGCATTTCATCATCGGATGGTACTGCCAAAGAGGTTGCAGCCATTCCCAAGGCCTCGATACAACGGCCCCCACGACCGAAGACGTATTGTAACATGTGCAACGACCAGCCGGATGGCTTTCACGGAGAGCACGAGCTGCGTCGACACATTGAGCGGGTCCATGCCGTTGTTCGCAAGGTTTGGGTTTGTGTTGACATCTCTCCTGGCAAGACATTCCTGGCCAACTGCAAGGCTTGTCGGAATGGCAAAAGATACGGTGCTAACTACAACGCTGCCGCTCATCTTCGCCGCACTCACTTCAACCCGTGCCAAAGAGGCCGTGGTGGTCGTGGCAAAGACAGCGAGAAGCGCGGCGGCAAGGGCGGTGGAAATCATCCTCCCATGGATGTCCTGAAGCATTGGATGGTGCAGAAAGAGGAGATTGTCCTCGAAAATGCCCAGAACTATATTGACCAGGATGCGCTAGGCGATGACATGGCGGCTGCTCCGCCTGCGGCCTCTGAGGACATTGCGTTCTCTGGATTGCCACAGACGTCGGTCGAAGACATCTCTTCCCAGGGTATGGACTCGACATTAGTGAACGGATTTGAGTCCTTCACTGCGATGCCGACGATGGTCATGGACCCATCGATGGATGCTGCTCCTTGTTACTTCGATTCTCAGACGTTACCACCTGAGATCGACTCGTATGTGTGATTGTATAAACCTCAGCCCAGCGGCTGATCGCTTTCTCATTTACCTCCCCAGAGGGGCTTGAGACTAGATCTTTGGTTACTCTTGGGTTTCTTGTTGATACTATACATCTTGAACCTTGATTTTTTTGGGGCTGTTTCCATATTCTTCACATTGCACTTTTCGCCTATATTTCGTGTGATAAATTCTCACTGGCTTTTCTTTTATTCTCATTTTCTCTATTCTCATTTCCTCTTTCCTGTTCCTAATCTTTCCTCTTCTAATTCTTCTCCTACCATTTTTTCTCATTTTTCCCCCTTCTTCTTCTTCTTCTACTTTTTTTTCTTTCAGTGATTCTTCTATCTTCTATCCTCTCTTCTCTTCATTCTTCGGACTCCAGAGGGCCGACCAAGTCGACCTGGTGATGCCCCTGATGGGCGCTACGACATAATGTGTGATGATGAGCAGTCAATCAGCCAGTCTCAGATTCGTGAAATATATTGATTTAATGCACGTCGTGCATGAGAGCCACGGTCCCCCCGAGTACAAGCCTCGGGACTAGGGTATGATGGGGAAGACCACTGCCAACTTTGCAGGACCTATTTTGGTAACTGCAGCCTACTCTTGCTAAAGGATACTAAGATACGCAGGGACCCTGCTCGAAGATGCCACGGGCGGTGACCGTATGGTAGGCGGTGCAGGTAGGCGGTGACGCCGGGGCGTGGCTTTGTGCCGGCACCCGACTGCCACGAAGTTGGGCGCAGTGATTGGGCGCAATTTTAGGGGTCTCATGAGCGCCGGGGCATGCAGTGGAACTGCAGGGCAGCCCTCCTGCCAATGATGGCGGCGATCCTTCGTCCAGCCGACGACGGTTGGCTGACAACTAACCTTTCATTCCCTGAGCCATCGCCCGTGGGCGATGGCAGTGGGGCGCAACCCCGAACACCAGGGCGGTGATTGGTAGGCAGACAGTGCTGGCCCCGACCGCTGAAGGGGTTGTCCGACAGTTGTTCCAGGACAAATTCCCCAAATCAATCATAGCAGGAACTGTCGTGGCTGGTGCCTGGAGGTAACTGGGTCCTGTAGGGCTGCGCTAATGTGGCTGAGTCCGGGCGGTGCTGCGTATGAGACCAGTATGTATGTATTGTAATTATGGGCTGACGGTCCCCTTCGGTCGGAGAGGGAGAGCTGGTTCTCTCTCTCTCACTTCAGTTTTCTCTGCACTTTGGAGGAAATCACGACAGATGATCACATAGCTTTAGATAGCACTTGTTTCGGATTCAATATTAATAATTTTCCATTCTTTCTCTCAGTCACTCATCGGTTGCTTTTCCCTGTTTCAGGCTGGGTAGACATGGGCGGCTAGGATTTTCTGGCGCCCTTCTAGTTGGGGGTGGGGGCGTAAACAGGATTGCACTACTGCTCACTATTGGCTCGTGGGACCTTGATTGCTGTAAGGTATGTTACGAGAAGAAGAGCAGGGGAAGTGTGAATGGAGTGTAATTTTCTTAATAAGTGGTCTTCCCTTCTCTCGTGTGTCTGTGTCTGTGTCTGTGTCTGACTGTCTGAACTGTCTTTCTTCCTTTCTCTCATCCAACCAACCAAAACCTTAAAAGACCTGAACGGCGGCTCAGCGATCTTCTCCTCTTTCTCCGCCTCCTTTCACCTTTCCAACCCCTAGCGATCGTTTCTCTTCCTCCTCTTCTTCCCTCTTCCTCTTCTCCCCCCCCCCTTTCTTACCTTTCCGCTTTTCCATCGACTCCATTTAGAACTCGGCGTTGTCTTAGGTACGCTTATTTCCCTTTTATTGGCCAACGCAAGGCTGGGCTTCCGTCCTCCGTCCACTCACTCCGTCCACTCACTCATCCTCTTTCTCTTTCTTCCATCCGCTACTGTCAACCGCCAAGTTCACCACGCTGACCCAGTCCTATCTTTTATTCCTACACACAGACTCTTTTCCTTCACAATGAGCGCTCCCGGATACTACAACGGCCCTCCTCCCCCGCCCCAGGCGTAAGTCTTTCGCCCTCCATTGCGCCCGATCTCCTGTGGTTTTTGCACCGGCCATTCGGATTCAAAGCGACCGCGGCGTGTTGGTTCAGGAACCCGTCTTGAGACTGGCTTGTTACCAAGCTTTTCGACACTGGTCTTTTTCTTCCTGGGCTGGCCAGCGGTCGCAGAGTGTCTACTTACATCATACCCCGGATTTGCGCATTGTTCTGACTTGGTCTCCGCACAGGTACCCTCCCCAGGGCTATCCGCCTCCGCAGGGTGGTTATCCTCCCCAGGGATACCCCCAGCAGCCCTACCCTCCGGTATGTGATACCAGAGTTATGTGCAGTCATGCGATCGGACTCTGACCGGACAACAGATGCAATACCAGCAACAGCCTCCTCCCCAGCAGAAGGACCGCGGATGTCTCGGTGCCTGGTAGGCCTCACCCTTGCTAAATTTCGTCGCACCGCATCTTACTAATCCGACCGTTTTTACCATCTAGCCTGGCCACGCTTTGCTGCTGCTTCCTGTGTGAGGAATCCTGCGAATGCTGCTTCGAGTGCATCGAGTGCTGTGAAATGTGTTAAGCTGTGATCGATTACGGGTGCTACCTCGAATGTAGCGAGGGCTGCGCGACCAACCGAGCTCTCACGATCGATATACGACCTCGACGATACGATAAATTCCCCTTTCATCGCGTGCTACACTAGACCGGTCGAGTCCAGGGGCGCCGGGAAGCGCTGCTGTGACAGCTGCAGTTGCTACGCGGTTTTTGTCTATTTTCTTGTTAATCTACCCATCGCGTTACTGTTGTCTTCCTTCGTCGTGCCCCCATGGGAATGCTCTTTTTTTCTTTTTTACCTCTTCTATTCTCCTTTCTGTTCAATATGGTGATCCCGGATATATGTGTTTAGGAACCCGGGGTGGTGCTTGGAACGGGGAGGGAGGTGAATCATCCTCTTTGCTTCATGGCGCTTTTCTTAATTGATGACTTGTGAACTTTTCCCCTTTTGCCGCATTGGCTACCCCAGTAATTGCCATCATCCCGAAATGACCCATCATCTGTGCATGATACACCCACAATGTGATACAGATACACAGTGTAGACTGCATTTGAAGCATTTACCGTTGATGAAGAAGAATCCTGGACATCTTGGCAGAGTCTGCAGCTGTCATGGCTAGGGGCACCTGCGACTCTAGTTCCCTTTCCGTCTGAAGCTTGAATCCAAAGCCAAGCCCACCGCCAGGAGAATCCAACCAATAACGGTCTCTCCGATTGGTGGTACCGTTCAATCTGGCAGAGCGGGTTTGGGCTAGGCAGCATTCATAACTAATGCGCTGTCCCGATGCTTCTGGCCGAGCTGAGTGGCTCGCTGCCTACACCCACGAGGCCCTGCAGGAGTAGATCGTTCTTTCCTTGTACGTAAGTAGATTGAGGTTTTCGCACTTGACGTAACTTTTCACCTAAATAAAATTCCTCATAGAACATTCAACCATTTCCCTTGGGCTTGGCTGCAGGTGAGCGTGGGGACGTATGCTTCTCTCTGCTGGGTAGGTAGCTATCTATGCAAATCATGATGAATATAGACAAAGCTGTCAGTGTGATCATAGATGTGCACGCGGATTGAGTGGGTAGAGGAATAAAATCACAGCAATATTTCATTCATGAGATGAAACAAATGCTAGTATAAAAGCTTCATGATTGCTCCCTTGGATATACTCTTCACACGTAGTACCTAGCAGTAGTAGGAGCAAGTAGCAGATGAACATATTAACCTCAATTGATAAGAGGTTATACTATGTATCATCATGTTACTATGATGATCTAGCAGTAGTATTGATCCCTCCATTTTCTCTACTAATAAAGACACTCCATCATCAATGTGGTATATTATCAAACCTCAACCTTAAAAACCACCATCAAGAGCACTCCACCCACAACAACCAACGCCCCCGTCATCTCAAGCCCAATAACTCCCACAAAACTCCAAGGAACCAGAGCCAGTTGCCTCTCTGGCCTCTCTCGCACCGGCTCAAAATACGCCGCCGATGTGACCGTCAGAAAGGTCAAAACCCAGATATACCCAAGAACCTTTTTCCACATTTCTGGCTCCTTTTGACTATTAGTGCTACCCGCTTCCGAGGTTGCTGAACCCTGAAACCTTTTCCTCCGCACAGCCTGGACACCATCTTCAATCATGTAACCTAACACAAAAGATAAGAAAAACACCATAGCGCCAGACTCGCCCATCGGTATATTCCCTACCACGTCCGCAGTAAGGTGTAGAATACCCGATAGGAGAAACACACAAAACACATGGGTATATCGTTCCAGGAAGGACGACTTAGCCAGACCGAGAATATCACGAGTGATGTAGTTGCTTATGGCAGTGAACTTGTTGCGGAGCAGTTGATGCCAGAATTTTCTGTTCAGATGGTGTCAGTATGTATACAAAATGATATGTATATATTTAGTATATATGATTCATAAAAGAAAGAGATGAAAGAGCCATAAAATGAGCCACCCCCCCC